TAAAATTTTAGAAAAGCCATTTGATCCATGCACCTTTGTTTTGTTTCTTTTGCATTGTTCCCCAAAGGAGGCATTTGAACAGTCATAAGATGAATATGATAGTCTTTTGTACTCTACTAGCCAGAAGACCTGTGTTGCTACATTGGAAAGATCCCCTCCCTGTTTGTTTACATAGTAGTTCACAGAGATTATGTAGCATCTCAAACTGGACAAGATGAGATGATCCTTGTAATATTCAGAGTTTTGCCTCTACACCTTTATGTTTGGACAAAAGTTATTTGTATTTATCATTATCTCTAAAATTTTGTGTCATACACTTAATTGCTACATGCCTTATACATTCTCCTTTATGCATTGGCCGTTTTTTTAAACCTGACCGACCAAAACTCTTACTAAGAAGTCACAATTTTCTAAATATTATTGAACTGACATAAGAAGGACTTCATTAAATTATCAAACTAACATTTAATACCCCACTTTGTGTGACCTATTTGTCAAAAGACATCCAATGCCCCACAAGATGCCTTCACAGAAAAAAGTAAAAAGGTAAAATTCTGCAGTGCTTCATGCCATATGACAGGAGTGTGTGAAAACTGACACACAAGAGTTTTCAAATTGGGGCCCGGGGAGCCGAAGCATAAAATAACTTCAATCTCAGCAGCTCTCCAAGGAATAGAGCAGAAGTGCGACCAACAACAACACAACAACAGAGAGGCAGGAAGGGGTGAAGGTAGGAGTTATTAGAGGATAAAACATGCCTCTCCATCTCACTCCCTCTCTCTCAGGAACCCCAAGGATGATCAATGGATTTAGTCAGAGGGATATTCAAGCAGAAAATTGCTGCCTTTTTGCTTTTCTTTGAAGTATTTCCAGAATACATACTGGAGCCCCTGTCCACCAAGGTTGAAAATAACAGTGCAAGTGCAGTCTGTACCAGTAATCCTGAAAAAAGGGGTGAAAAAAATGTGTGTGTGGGGGGGCGGGAGGGGTTGGTGTGGGCAACAAATGTTAAAGGACGCAGGGAGGGTTTAGATTGAAACTTTGCAGGTATAAAATTGAAGGCAGCCAGCTGAATAGACACAGTCAAACTATGGCTATTTTTCAAAACTGAACCTCAGTGGCCACCATGGAAATAAATTAATAAAAAAGGACCAAACATAAGACACCACTATGCAAATATGGCTACATGATTTATTTGATTCTGCTCACATGTATTAACTTTAAAAGGTCCAGTTAACCTTTTTTTTCTGAAAAAAATAATGTTTACTATACTTGCTTAACAAATTACTTTCAAACATGAAACTAGTTGTTGACATCATATAATTCTATAAAGTATGTCAAATTTTGATTTTCTGCAGCAAAAGTAAAATGTATTGAGTTATAATTGATTTAAACATAAATTGTGGCTGATTCTTACTTAATGCAAAAAGTATTTCTGAGGTCAATAGGATGATGACAGTTCTGTTAAACGAGCCAATGTGCCAAATCGTAACAGTGACAGGGTAAACTCGAATGTCGGATAGCGAAGACCGCCCCGGCCCCTTAGGGCCCCTGGTGGCACTATGCAGATGACAGCAGAGGCATGTGGCACACTCGTGGCATTATGAATAGGACACAGGGATGGGGGACCAGACTTCTCAGCTCCCTGCTGTGTGGTGTGATGGCCTCATCTGTTTTTCCATCGCTACTCTAATACATCTGCAGTGCACTCCTTCCTAATTAAGATTCCACCATTCTATTAGTCATAGGATGGAAAGGATATCACAGAGGGTAGTTTAGCCAGAGTTTTTGGATTAATTGCTGTGCAATTCACCACACACAAGAGTGCTTAGAGAGCCCAAACAAAAACACCAGAGACAATAATTCAGCTCTCTTTTTTCCCCCCCATTCATGGATGTTATTTTTGCAGATAAGCCTCCACGGGAATAGGCCCTGCGAACTATTTGTCACATTCTATTCATAACTTTCATTAATAGTAAGTAGGGTTCACTAGTGTGTAGCCATGGGAGACATCGTTTAGAGGTATGGTTATTTAAAACTGAACATGTACATACCCAGTTTAGACTTTTTGTTTTTGCTGCTAATGCATTTGCATCAACTGATTAAATATTAACCTTCTGGTTCTAATTACAGTTACTGTGGAATTTAACATGAAGAAATGAATAGCTCATAAACAGGTAAGTCCCAAATTATTCACACATCTACAAAACTTAGGTCATTTTTAATGCTTGGAAAATATTTTATTTTAGAATATTTTTGCCTGTGTCAATATGGGGAGGCTTTCAGCCACTGCTCCTCAGCTCTGGAACTCATTTCCTAGTTATGTAGATTAATTTCCTTCATTTAATACTCACTTTAACATAGATTTAACAGTTGTCAAATCTTGTTTACGGCTTTGCTTTTAAAATGATTGGTTATTGAGCCTGTATTGATATGTTGTTTTTGTAAGGTTTTAGAAATGTGCCATCAAATAAAAAGCATTATTGATATTACTGCATTTTGACAATCATCAAAACTTGTTTTATCCCAGTGTCTAATTAAGAAAAAAAAATCTAAAAGGCTGCAATTCTCCCCCTACATATTGTGGAACTTTATGCATAAATCCACACAAACCATATTATACACTGACCAAAATACTACAGGTAAATTCTGGAGAGAATTGAAAGAAATCCTGCATTTTCTGTGTGGTTCCTATCATGTCAACAACAAGGGATTTCTTGTTATGGTTTAATTCAACAATAGCATTTGCAATTGGGGTTTTGGGCATCTCAAGGGCATTCCTGGTAAAATTACTGAGACTCTGCACCATTTATCACAGCCTGACATGTGTCATGTTCCAGATTCTGGTGCAGAGAGGTTACAGCTGAAGACAGCTCTTTCTTTGTTGAGCAGTCATCAAAGACAACATCTCGTATTTATCAAAACAAAAAGAGAAAGGAAAATCCACTGCAGGAACAGAAACTAGAAAAATGTCATGCTTTCGGATGCTCAATACAAAACAGACACAAATGTTTAATTTAATACATTAACACCAAACAAAACAAATCATGTTTTTTTTTTTGTTGTTTTTTTATTGGGTTAAATATGGTTGCATGCATTTTTAGATTTATTCAACAAAATCAGAAATGTTTTATGTTTGTTTGAACTGACGGCTTGGGCAACTGAAAAAACAGGAAAATCATATATTTTACATAGGCAGTTTGTTAGGGGTAACATTAAAACAAAGGGTTATTAGTTGTGCTAACAACTATAATTATTAATATTTTTTCCGTATAGCAAATATTGTATATTGACACAATCTAACGTCTCGTGTGATTTGTTATATTCCAACGTGTTATGTTGTACATTATTAAAGAAGAGCAAACTTATCGTTACAAATTTCCATAAACAACTAAAAGCCACAACAAATGTCAAGGTTGAGTTAAGAGGTGGGTTGAAGTTCAGCCCATACCTTTATATGGAGAAGGTATATCCTATCATACACCAAACAAAAGCCAAAATTTTGAAACAAAAAACATTTTGTGGAATAAAAACACTAAATGTTTTCAACTGACTGTGTGTTTATGTGTTTAATGACAAAATGTTAAAATAAAAATCAGTGAATAAGTTCCAGGTTGTAATAATCAAAGCATATATTGGAGAATAAAAAATAACTTCCAAAGCTATACAAATCTACCACATCATGAAGCAAAATTAAGAATTAGGTTTTTACATTTTCAGATGTCAAAAATCTGAGATTTGGACTACAATTCTTTGATCTTTAAGAGTTAATATATTCCACAGGAAAGATGTGGATGCCAACCGAATATGTACCTGAACCTGTCACCTTATTCGTCTGTTGTAACTACTCCACTCTACTGTTTCTCATCCCCCTCTTTCATCTCTTCTCCTGTTTCAATGCATCAATCTCTTCCTCAACTTTCTCACTCCTGCTCTGGCTGGTTTATTCTCTCTCTCTTCTCCAACTCCATAACCACAGCTGACACTGTCCTTGACTGCAACAATGATAAACGTTACAGCACTTTTGTAAATAATTCATAGTGACAGAACAAAAATACAACTTTTTTTTTGTTTGTTTTGCAATAATGAAACTTATGCCTTTTTCTGGTCAATGAAAATGTTTGTGTGCCCTAAACTTTAAAAAACACAAACACACCAAGACTGGAAAGAGTCTTAGGATAATTGGTAATTTCATGACCAACCAGATAATCATGCTGATTGGTCCAGTGTCATCATGACCACATAAAATATCTGTTATTTTGGCACATTTGGTTCCATCCCGCACAAAGTTTTGTTGTTTTTCTCCTCTACCCATCACTATTTTTTTTCTTTAGGCATTTTGACAAATTTAACCCACTGATCTTTCTTCCTTTCTTTTTTTTTGTGTGTCTTCTATTAGCTTGGAAAATTTCAGACTGACCCCACTTGACACCTCACTGCCAACAAAGCTCCAAAGCCACCACAAGGGTGGCTGTGCAGCAGCACTGATGCACTTAATTTATGGGGTTTAAAAAGATTTTTAAAAAGCATAAACTGGTTCCGTCTGGAACAGAGCTGACATCACTGCAATGTAAAATGGACCCCAGTCTATTCACGATTCACGATTTCACTGTGTATATTAGTGCATATTAAGATGTATTTGGTATTAAAACTCTACTTAGATTCCCTAATAGGCATAAAAATAATTTGATGATGCTTGATGAAAGCTAGACAAGTCTTTTAATCACATTTTTCAATTAATGTGGAGGAAGTCATCTCTCCTCAGTATGACTCCCAATAAAATTGTAGGTAGAGTCATAACGGTAAATAAGAGGGTAATGCTAACACTTGAAAACAATCTTTAACTTTAGACACCACAATATAATTTTGATTAAATATATAGTTTATAAATATGAAATAGTTTATAAATAAACTGATATCTTAACGATTATATATGACCGGCATTACACTCCAAACAAATTTTGTTAGAAATTAGAGAGAAAAGAAAATAACTCTGTCTTACCAGGATGGAAATATGGTTCAAACCCAAGAGGATGCTTAAATGAAGTTGATGTTTCTAAAGATAAAGATACACAGAACATTTGTTGACTAAAATATTACATTACTGTTTTTTTTTTCACTTTAAAAGAAATGTAAATGACATATAGTTTTTTAGATACATATAGCTTATCAAACTGCATTCTGTTGAAGTTAAACTTTGATTCAGAGTCTATTGTGGTTGAGTTCCATGCCAAGTCAGTGTTTGTAGGTTCAGTTTATTTAATGCATCCCATCATTGGCATTATATTGCAAGATGTATTTTATTGATTACAAAGATGATAAACCCACCCTGGACTTGTTAGTTGTTTTGGGAAAGTTATAGTTGTGCTTGGAGTTTATTGGTCTGTAACACTTCTTCTCAAGTCAATAATGTTAACATTATTGCAATACCTCCCTAACATCCTGCATGTAAAGACATTTTCTATAGACGTAATGACTAATAAGTGCATGTCCCAAGTTCTATAATTTTTCAGTTGTCAAGAAAAATGATCACTAAAGGTGTGATTAGAGTTGAAGCCACAGGATCTTGCAGATTAAAACACCAGAATATTTGCACTTACAGGTGAAGACTTTTTCACAAAAGGCTATCTTTTTGCTGTTGTCCAAGGTCAGGGAGGTGAGTGCTTTATGCGTGACTCTGACTGAAAGCAGTTCTCCGGTTGTCGTCCTGTTGTAATACAGTCTGCACTTGGGGCAACTCACAACCTTTAAAAGCAAAAAGGAAAAATAAAATAAAGGTTACAGAAGCTTCAACCACTTTGAAATTGCAGCACTTTGGGTACTATGTTTAAGTTAGCATTTAGAAGACGTTTAATCAAAGTTTCCATTTTAAAGCCCCAAATCTGCTGCTGATGGCCAACACTCCCCTGGTCCAATTACTGAAATGTAATTTTGATCACATTTTGTGGAAACGTAAAAACTTCACGAAATGTGGTTTACAACAAACTAGTGTGTTTGTTGTAAACCACAGATATGTATTTTATAACTAGTGGTCATAAATGGATTTAGTTATTCTACATTGTTTAAAATTTAGAGCACATCTTACAATCCATAAAACCTGTACTTCATGCATTAGGATTAACTTTTCTCAAAACATTGCATTCGTTTTCTGGTTTCCATTGACCCAATATTATGTTTCATCTTATCTATAGTTTAAATGGAAATGGAAAAGGCAAAAAAAAATGCAGTTTTCATTGTGAATAAAACAAAACCTGCTTTCACTAAACAACAGTTGTGCTTATGTCACCAGGTTTTTAGAAATTACCCAATCCTATTTAAATCAGTACAAATGTAGAAGATAGTAAATAGTACCATAAAAGAAAAAGAAAAATCATAAATATTGTCAAACCCAACAATATCAGGAAGTCCCATTTATTGTATTTTGTGTAGCCCAGACCAATTTCTGTTGATTATTCCTGCGAAAAAATGCTCTCATAAAACAAGGACAGCCTAATTCTGGAGGCCTTACATACACCATCTTAATTGCAACACCATTAGTGAATCACAAAATAGCTGTCTTTAAAAAGCCATATAAATTGTCATTGTTTAAAGGGTGCATCAATAAATGCTGACATAGTTGAATGTAAAAGTAACACACAAACGGGAGGGGCACGTATAGAATTAATTAATTCCACTACCATTATTTATGACTTAATATGATATACTGGCGTGCTTTATAATAACACTGAATGTGCATATTTCTAGAGGAGACACTGGAGTAATTATGTAGAATGCCTTTTACTCTGAATGTACAATATTAATTACAACCACGGTTGTTTATCAATTGTGAAACACTGTTTAAAGGCTGTTTGGAAAATTGCCACGATGACCCAGGCATGTGTCCTATCTTACTTCAACTTCTCATAATGTGACATAAGACATCCTTCCTGTGTCACCTTTGATATGTTTTAATAAAGGAGGATATCACAAATGAGACTTTAAAGTGCAGAAAAAAATAATAAAATAAAACCGTTTAAAAGGAAAAATACACATGATGCCCCTTGGAAGGATGAAACATTCTGAATGCCATTTCTAACATTTGTTTAGTTCATCTGCATCAATTGCTTCTCAAAAAATTATAACCAGGAACTTTTTGGACCATGCATATTTGTGTGAACCCATAAGCATCAGGCTACTAATCCTAAGCATTATGTTGGTTGAAAGTCAGCACTCTGATAATCTAAAGCAGGGATGCTCAAGTCCAGTCCTCGAGAGCTACCATCCTGCAACTACTATGCATCCCTGCTCCCACACACCTGAATCAAATGAATGACTCATTACCAGCTGAGCCTGGTCGACTGGAGTAAGGCTGCAACTAAAAGTTGCAGGACGGTAGCTCTCGAGGACTGGACTTGAGCACCCCTGATCTAAAGCAGTGTTTCTGAAGGCTGAAAATCTCTTGCCCCATTTATCAAACATTTGCGGACCACTTAATTTGAAATTGACCCCACAACAAAACAACATCCTATTATATATAAACTGAAATGAAGATATTAGTCTCTTAAGTCATTGTTTTTGTTCCTCCTGAAGTGAAGGATGGTGCTATTTTGTAAATGTAGCTGGCCACAATAAAAGCATGAACAAGTCTACTCAGGTGTTTCGAGTTATTTACAGATTCTGGAAGTATGGATTCTAAGCTTTCCAATGATAGAAAATACATAAAAAAAAAGTTGTTTAATATGAGTGTTGTGTGCACTAGCAATATTTCACGGATATTTGTAATTTAGAAGTAGGCTATAATAAAAGAAAAATAGACTTGAGTTACTTTGGCAAAAACAAACATTTTCTTTCAGTGAGTAGATGGTACAACATGAATGCATTTATTTTAGGTAGCCTATTAAAATTACAAGTTGGGACGCAAACACATACGTCGGCTTACTTTTTGGTTCCAGCACAAACTGGCGTGCCTCGTTGTTCCTGCACATTCGCTGTTCCTGCCTTAATTGTTATACATCCCAGCCAGCAGGTAATTTTCAGTGCCAGTTATTTTCCCGGTTCAGAGATTCAAACAAAGCTATTTCCGGGTTAATGCGCGTCAGGAGGAAGTCACGTGATGACATAATGCCCTTATCAGGACGTTGTATCAGTTGTTTTCTATTAAATTCAATTTTGTATTTTTAGTCACAGGTTCTTTTTTTTTCTTTGCTATGTCTTTTTTTTGTATACTTTGATGAGAGTTTACTTGAGTAAGAAATAATTGTTTAGCTTTAATTGTTTTGTTTTTTGTTTATTTGTCTTGGCTTCTTGTGGGCGGAGCTTGTGACTGTCACAAAGGGCTCTGCAACAGAAGGAGCCTCCCTGAGTTTAGACTCAACGTGTCACACAGAAAGTGATGGACTTTTGAGCTGTTGGTTTTTAACCTGCCTTGACTTCCATTGTAAATATGGTGCACAGCTTCTCCAGCTTCTTTCACATGAAGATAAACACAATAAACACCGCCTGAAGTGACCTATAGCATTGGCCTATCATTTTTTTTGCCCAAGTCAAAACAGAGCCCCACCACAAAAAAAAACAAATAAAGAGACCAGAATCCATTAAAACTTCAAAGGATTTAAGAATTTGCTCTAGATATAATCAAATTCAGTCTGGATTACTTAACTGTAAAATAGCCCTTTCATTTACCTTATTCAGCCTCATTTCCCTCAATGTGCAGTCCTGTTTTCAGCTATTGTTTACAAACATTTGAATATTTAATATATCTTTTCTGCCAGTGCTTGTTTGTATTCAAACACTATATATTTAACGGTTCATTCCATATACTGCCTCAAAAAATCAGAGTCTCAAAAATTAATTTAGGGTGTCAAGCTTAAGGAACTTGTCTTATTTACTTAAACTCATAGATTTTTCACCAGACAAAGTTATTCAGGATGTGAGGAATAAATCATTGACTTTTAAGATCACAATATTTTGTGCAGCATTTTACTATTAGGCCACACAATGGCTCAGTTGGTAGCACTGCTTCCTTGCAGCAAGAAGGTTCTGAGTTTGATACCCGGCCTGGGGTCTTTCTGCACAGAATTTACATGTTCTCCCTGTGCATTGTGGGTTCTTTCCGGGTACTCCGGCTTCCTCCCACAGTCCAAAAACATGACTGTCAGGTTAATTGGTCTTCCCAAATTCTCCCTTGGTGTGAGTGTGTGTGTGCATGGTTGTTTGTCCTGTTTGTCTCTATGTTGCCCTGTGACAGACTGGCGACCTGTCCAGGGTGTACCCCACCTCTCGCCTGGAACGCAGCAGCAATGGATTTTTTAGGCACATGTGCTATTTTATAACAAGATAAAATAATTATGTTTCTTTCTATTGTAATAAAAATATTGTACGGAATGTATCAAGCATAAATTAAAAGAAATTTAACTTTGCAAAATTGACTTTTGTCTCTTTAAGAAGCTCCTGCTCTTTCCAAGACTCCACCTTCAGCACGTCATCACAATAATATTCCTCCACTCTCCCATGTACAAACGTTCTTAGGAGCTCAGCAGACTCATAGTTCCACTAGATGTTTGCTTATTGCTGCTGCTTCTAGTGTGGTAGAGTCGAGCAGGGAAGGTGCAGGGGGACCAGTTCTGTGAGGCGGAAACTCAGTTGGAGACTGCAGCTCCAAGGAGGCGCTGTGTGAAAATAGGCGATGTTTTGTTAAGAGAAAACGTTTAATCAACCCCAATGACTGCCACTTCAGATTCAAGGATTGTTTAAACATCTATGGAAAAAAATCTATTTAAAATGCCACTTATATTTTTGATTATTGATAACATTATAACAAGATATGAAACAAAATAAAAAAGAGTCGATTTTACATAAAATTCCCCTAAGCCCTTTTTAAATTAAACCCATTGGGATGTTTCAAAAACCTTTATCTGGCTGTGCTCAACCAGGTAAAACAGAATGACAGCAATAAAACAAAAAATAAGTCATTTTAGTTGTTTAGAAAACTGAAAAGTAATTTGGAGATTTTTTTTAAGAAATGGGAAAAGCTGGTTTCACTGAGTTCAATGCATTCATTTATGTGAGGAAACCTTCAGTTTAATTTACATGTATTGCTAGTCTTTTTTTTTTAAATGATGACCACCTCACCTTTCACATAAGGATTTCAGATGTGTTTTTTAAGAGTTAAATTGTTTTAAGAAGAGAGCTAATATATTGTAAGAAGACAATTGCATGTCAGTAGAATTGACACAAACACTAAAGATCTCATCAGTGATCAAAAGTGCAGTATCCGAGTCCATTTCAAAGTGGGACTGGAGCTCAGGGAAAAAGTTTTTCTCTGACTAGCCAATAACTTTCACAAAAATAATAATTATTATAAGGATCCTTTAAAAAGTAATCAAAAATTACACTGAAGAAGACACTTTAACCAAAATGTACCATTCTCAGTTTATGTGAACGATGAAAAACAAACTAAACACTTTTACTGAGGGGTTATGATTTTTGTTGTCAACCAGTTTTCCAAAGCTTCCATCTTACATGTCTGTGATTTGTATTTATGTAGTTGCCACACATGGAACGGTGGATATAGGGGTGAAAATTACATCTACAGTTTTAAGAGAACAGCCCCAAGCTCAGACCAGCACTATGCCATGTGTCTTCACTGCCCTCTACAGGATGAACTTTATGGTTTTTGTCCTTTTGCCCCCACACCCTTAGACAATTATTGCATCTTTTTTCTTCCGTTCAGTTGCATGTTTAAGATTTTCTGGAAGTTTATGGAACTTGTCATTGAAGAGTGATACAATAAAGCAGTGAATAACCACAACAAAAAAAAATAAATCACATTTCTTTATTTTTTTGACTGGTAAATAAATCATTCTGCAGGGCTCAAATACCTAGAAGTTCGGAATAATCCAAACTTTAACACAGTAATTCCATACAGTTACACAAATCACGTTCTCCAAAAGTGCATGTTTCACAAGTACTGAAAAGCAATCCATGAAACCAAATACAATAAGTTGCTTTGTCGTGTTAAAACACTGTAATGTTATGACTGAATCTCGTAGGCAGTCCTTTTCTTTTTCAGTCTACTTTGTCCGTCCACCATGTCTCTGATTCTTCCCTCCCATCCACTCTCTTCTCTTCATGTTTCCCATAGCTGTTTGAGCCAGCTGAGGTAAATGTGTCAAACTAGCCTACGTAGGTCACCCTAACAACCAAAAAAGTGTTCACTTGAGATTCAGTCCAGCTGACTTTACAGCACTCATGCCAGTGAGCCACTTTAGGCCATGCAATCACTGTGAACTAATACATTTATTATCCAAGCACATACTTCATCCCCACAACAGTAAGAAGCGATAATAAAATCAGCTAATGGCACTGCCTTTGATCATCTTTCTAAGGTGCAGAGTAGTTTCAAGCAGGTGTGTGAAGATAAAAGGGATTTGTCTCCTTAAAATGAGTGAGGGGGGATAGAAGAAACTGAACAGAGATGTACCAACAGCAGGAAATGTTGAGAGAAAGCTTCTTGAAAATATTTATTTTCATCTTTTGATTGTCAAATCTAGGATTCATCATTGGAAGTCACTTGTATCACAATATACTTCCTTTTAGATTAAGAGGGCAGTAAAGACAACTGTGTAAGTGTGCATGTGGGGCAATGGAGCAAGCCATGAGGGCTAAAACATCCAGAGTAAAACAAGCTGTACTAATCTGGCATTATCTGTGATTCTCCCTCATCATCTTATTGGGTGTGAGGTCTTGGGTGTTGTTATTGAGGACACTGATATTAAATGGGCCTTCTGCTTGCTGACTGATTATTTCTTGCAGGGCAGCTGTGGGTAAGGGTCACTGAGCTGCTTTTCAAGCTGTACAAGTCTGAAAATTGCTTAACCCATTCTAACAAAAGATTTAGAAAAATATTCTATGTAGTCAGCCTTTATAGGAGACAAGAATCAGTAAATGTCTTATCTTCAAATCATTCAGGTTATATTAAGTAAGGTAGGAAGCAGTGAGATGGAGATTTCAACAATAATACAATGCAGATTGAGTCAACATGAGAAAATGCCAGAAAGGATTTTGTGTGTGTACGTGTGTGTGGGGGCGGGTGTGTGTGTGTGTGTGTGGGTGTGTGTGTGTGTGTGCATGTGTGTGTGAGTGAATGAAAGGTAAAGTAACACGTAACTTAGTCGATACGCTGGAGGGAAGCAAACACTGCTTCAGCCCTGAAAACAGTGTCAGGTTGCGTTAGCAGTTCAGAGGTGCTATCCACAGTTTACATCCGTGTCCGGTGGTACGTAACACTCCTGCAGCCTCTGACCTATCCACTTTAGCTGTCTCTGGGGTTAATTCCATGTCCTAGAGCTGAAACAACAGGATCACGGCCGCAGCACTAATACTCAATAGACGTTGACCTACTTTGTAGGATTATATGGGTAAAAAAACTGATCCGCTGCCCTAATGCCAGCAATGAAAATGATCTAATGGTTCTAACTGCTCTGTTTAATCTGAAAGCATGCTCATGTTATTAATTTCTCATTATGGGAATGCAGTTTTCCTGATGGGATTAAATGTCCTGCACTGACTCCTTTTAATTTTTTTGGAAACATCCCTGATAAAACACAACAGACAAAAGACATCTGGCTGAAACTAGCTCATGGCCTTGGTTTATTTGTTTTTATCTTCCAAGTGTCCGTGCATAGCATGGGCTGTCTGTTATTCATCCATCTTTAAATTTCTGAGACAATTATTAACATTTCAAAAAAATTGTTTCATATAATAGATAGTTTAGGCTGGTAATCAGTAAAATCCAAATATAGCAAATTATGTTTTAAATGTTAAACCCCAAATCATTTTAGGCTTACAGAATGATCTTGTATGTTGCTTCTGCCTCTATAAAGTTATGCTTAAACGGCTGTAGAATGCCCAGGGCTGGTTGTACATCTAACATGAACAAAGTCATTTTTTTGGTCCATTACATCACCACCAGGGGGCACTTGATTCATCAAGCATGGAGTGTGTTTGACAGATTTCCGTGGAGGTTACACATGTAT